AGGGCTGTGACTTTCTCCATTTTGATTACATAAACCCACTCGATATCTAATTAGATGTCTATTTCAGTGTAGATTCTCAATAATTACTTGTTAAGTAAGCAAATAAAATAATTGAACTTTGAGTCCAACTGTATCAATATGCTGAATCTTTGAACCATTGATGATTATAGCAAATTATGCATAATATAAACCTTCTGAATAGGCATACAGTGCATTTCAAGAGGCACAATTTTCTGCTTTGCTGAAATAATTTTACCTACATCCTTGCTTCGTGCTTACACTCCCCACTTTTGGACACAATAGTTTATGAAAATCCCATCATCAAGTGAATCCTTTCACCATTTTTACTTTGAAATGATGTCCCATTAAGTAGCAAGTAACATATTAAACAAATACTATTTAGTAAATCATAAAAAGAAATTAAATGTGAAATTATAAAAGGTTTAATATATGATTACATTTGGAAAATCACTTTATACATTAATTGAAATTATTCTAAATGTCTATATGTTATGCTCAATGTTATAATCCTATATCACACTGGTATTTGTCAAAATTAAGAAACCAAGACTGGCACAATATTATATTCCAAACTTCAGACTTTGTTCAGATTTTATTCATTTTCCATTAATATCCTTTTGCTCTTCTTGAGTTGACTTGTCATGTCTCTTTAATCTCTTCTTCTCTGTGACAAATCTTTCTCTGTTTTTGATGATCTTGACAGTTTTTAAAAGTACTTGCCAAGTATTTCATATGATGTTTTTTGTTTGTGATTTTCTGAAGTTTTCTAACAATTTGACTAGGGTTATGGATTTGGGGGGAAAATATCACTGAGGTGAAGTGTTATTCTTATGATCATGTCTTAAGATACAATTTACTAGGTTTTTCCATTGTAGAGTTACTTTTTTTCCCTTTCTAAACTCTGTTATTTATAAGCAACTCACTAAGCCCAACTCACACTCCAAATGTTGTGGAACTAAGCTACACCTCATGATGAAGTTAATATTTAAATAACATCTTTCTAACTTCGGTTTGAAAGATTTGTCTCTTCTACCCATTTATTTA